CCACAATTATTCGTATAACATATTACGACGGGAAGTGATAGAAAAAATGATCCGATCTGAACCATTCTTAATAGCATCTTTACTTTGGGCGTGCCAAATTTGCGGTGGTATCCAAAAAATAGACCCACGTGATTCAAATTCGTTAAGATTGATTTCTCTGTCAATTTGCTATTATAAACTAATTATCACGATGATGTATTAAAAAATACACCTTTTTACTATAGTCTCGTAGCGTTCGAGTTTCAATTTAGAATCTCCATGTACTATTACAGGGCGAGTTTTGTCAAGAAATTTAAAAAATTGCAATTTTTTCCCAAATAACGAATTTTCTAAATAGGGCGGTATAGTTTGGCAACTCTGCGCGCGCGCTTCGTTCGTACTGTTTTACTTCGTTTGAAGAAATTTTGCAATTTCTTTTTTTATCTTATTGCTTTATAGCTTTATACGCATATAAAGCCTAATTAATTATAAAAGTATAAAAGTGTTTAAATTAATTGAATTATATTGAACTTTTTGTCGAGATATTCAGTTCGGTTTTTGCGATTAGCGCTCCAAAAAATATTAATAAAAATAACAAATAGCCTCTATCGCTGGCTGTTCCGAAGTGTCTGCTGGTCACCATGCTTGGCAAGTCGCACAAGCTACACGTGCGAGTGTGGCCATCCTCTCTATAAACCCAACAACTCCAAACTTTCCACCTACAAATACAATTGTTTCTAGGCATTAGCCCCCAAAAAGGTAATATTCATGTGAAGACTTGCGTCCGACATCTCTGAGGATAACATAAAAACTCATCTGGCTACTAAAGTCCCATCAGTTAATTTGAAACTTATAAGTATTTTCAAATTGGCTCCATCTCAACTATCCGTAGAGCCATCTCGTCTTTTAAAGCGTTGGTTCCAACTGAACCCATGAAAATTTTGTTAAACAAAGCATTGAAGCCAGTTGAATTCTTAAATAAGGAACTTATTCCTCGGGATAGACCCCGTAATACTAATTCGGCAGCTCTTCCACCCTCAACAAACTAAATGTTTCTTCATGTCTAGTAATTTTTATTTATCAAAATGTTAATTATGTAAACTCAAAAATTCGCTTTATTTTCCTGAATTCAGCTTTCCGCTTTCAGCTTGATCTTCATTAAGACTTGGTTAAAGCCTGATTTACATTCATCGTAACTGTTTCACAACTCTATCCAGGATTTCAGAAAGGATCGATTGGATCGCGTTGGTGGTGATGTTTTAATTGCAATGTCTGTTTCAGTCCTGTCCTATTCATTTGAAATTCCTGCTCTCCCCTATGTTGAATTTATCGCCATTCGGGAGAAAATTGCCAATTGCTGCCCTGTGGTGACTACTAATATATTCATAGCGTTGGAGGCCTTCAATTTGCAACAAGTCAGTTCGTGTTATAGTGATAATTCCAGCTGTATTTTAACATCTGATAGAACTGTTCTGTTTTTCAATGAATTATTTGATCGTAATTTACTTCGATACAACCACACTCTAATTATAATGGCGGACTACTAATCTTTTCTTCGCCAACTTCTCGGAAATAGTTTTAAATCGCCGTCTACATTTTATTTTACCTGAGGGTCCGTATCATGCATTTCCGTTTATTAAAGGCGTGATGGTTCGTTGAACTACTTTAACGTGCCAAATCCAACTTCCTCCAAAAGACATTATAATTTTAGGAATTTTTTTATTGCTTGCGTCTCATCTTTCACTTATTACGCTCTATTTCTCTGCTGCGAATATTAAAACCTTGCTGTCATCGTTCTATAATGTAAAAACACTGCCATGAGTTAACAAGAGAATTAAATATTACAAAAATAGGAAAAACAAATTTTCCCAAAAAATTTATGGAAAGCGGTTCTGCTTACGACTATTTTGCCTATTCTGGTGCAAAGCAGAGATTTAATTATCTCAATAACCAATGTTATTGCAATACCTTTAGTTTTAGTGATTAAATCCCCATCGCTCGCATTTTTCTTTCGATGGCACTGAGCCCTCTGATGATATTGAAAGCTCAAATCTCTTTGCTGAACACTTCCAACGAAATTTTTCAAGTGCTAATCAGATAACTAATCCGCTTTTGATTCCTAATTTGGTCATTTCAGAAATGAAGTTTGCTTTAAGATCTCTAAAATATTGTTGTGCGCCTGGATCTGACGGGACTCCGTCGTATACATTTAAATCATGCTTTGTCGAGCAATGTGGCATTATTTCAGTGATTATTAATCAGTCCTTGAAATCAAGTGTTTTGCCTTTCTGTTGGAAAAATTGTTTCCTTATTCCAATTCACAAATATAGAAATAGTCATCACCTTGAGAATTGTAGGGGCATCGCCAAGTTGAGTGTCTTATTCAAATTGTTTGAGGGAATTGTTACTCAGTGTTTAGCTTTTGCTATCAAATCTTATATTTCTCCATTCCATAATGCCTTTCGAAAAGGAAAATCTAGTGTTATGAATCTCTTAGAGCCCAAGTTTCCAAGGCTTTCAGTATATTCCTATACATATATATTTTAATAAAGCGGTTGTCTTAGTTAATCATAACTTATTGATCTTCAAACTCCTTGCTTCTGGATTCCCGTCCTGCTTAGTGAAAAGGATAAGCTCTTATCTGCATAAGAGATCATTCAGGATTCTGTTTAACATCATTGCCTCGGATAAATAAACCTTCACGTCTGGCGTCCCTCAAGCCATAATAAGCCATTTAGAACCCCCTTTATTTTATTTATAGATTAATGATCTCTCCTCGGTGATTAAATGCACCCAGATCTTAATGTACGTCGAGGATGTTAGACTGTTTTCTTTCTTCTCTTCAACTAGCAGGGTAAACAGGTCGATACCGCAATAAACACAGTAGATATTGAATCGGAACCACGATCGAAAAGCTCACCCAACGGTAGAGACGTATTTGTACGTCTGGTTTGTTTCCCGTCTATTGAATCTAGACATTGATAAACAAACAAGCTAAAAGCACAGAGAAGACAAACACACTTTAGGGTACTATCTAAAAATAACATGCAGCCATCAGTAGCTGCGATCTCAACATGTCATCCTACGAAATTATTGAATAGCGCGTTATGTAACTTAATTCGCATAAATAGAAGAATATATTTAGCATTACTTGTTAAGATGTGTATACAAAGTATTTGTTTTAGCAAAAGCAAGCAAACTCAGTTTAAAATTATTCTTTTTGGCTTTTAACAGCGTAAGTTAAATAAGAAGAAAATTATATCCAGTCGCGACCGAATCTTTTATATACATCATCGATATCCTAAACAAGACTAAAACGAAGGAAGAGAACTGAGTTTTGATACTCGATAATATCGGTTATACTCCATTGATTTTTTCTCTCTTCAGAATGAAAGAGAAAATATATATGGTGTATGTGTAGTACTTTACAAATAACAAGCAAAAAACACAGAACACAAAGGTTTTATTGCTACATAGACGTGTGGACGTGTTGTAGGCATGTTCTGTGAAAAGTGTGGGTCGTTTCCAAATGCTTTTGCAGGTTTGTAGACGACATCCTCATTTTTGCGAAAAGGAGAACGTTTACCACAGTTGCTCAGGCAGACAGATAAATATACGAACAGACGGGCAATTTTAAGCACATTCCTCAATTTGGAAACGGCCAAAAATTTACATACATCATAGGTTTGTTAAAGCTTGCTTCAGCGCGTTGTAAAGGCATTGAAAAAAAATTAAATTTTGATACCCTATAATACTGCGTAGGCGTAGGTGTACGTTTATCTTCTGTGGTTTATGAGTAATGGGTTAAAAACCAATTTGTTATTGTATTCCTTTTGAAAACCAAAGATGTTCTCATTTTACGTAATAATATAGGCGTGTCCTTCACCCGACCCGTTTCAAACCGTTTTCAACACCAAATTTGAAGTCGATAGCCTCATTTCCGTGGCCAGGAGAATGTCTATAGCAGACGGAGAGGTGGACATGCTTAAACTGACCGATAATCGATTAATTTTTTTCGGCAAATGCTTGAACAGCATTTTTACCCCTTCGGTAGTAAAAAAGTAAAATATGCCGAAAATGCTACTTTCTATTTTCCATATTTGAAAGGGCACCAACCAAAAACTATTGGAATCAATCGAACGTTTCATAAGCAAGCCTTGATAATGCGGCTCATGTGCCAACTTGACTATGGAAAAATGCAATTAAATCCATTATTGGGAAAAGACGAAATGGCTTTGCGAACAACTTTATATATATCTGTATATGTGTGCGACCTATAAGCATTTTAAAACACTCGTTATGATCTGGAGACTTTCGACAATTTATATTGAACGAAGAAATGTCATTGATTTACTCAACTAAAATCAAGAAATTGTATGCTTTAGGCATTTTGGAACCCTACTTCAAGCTAAGCGACATTCGCTAACTCCCAAGCCTAAAGATATGAACCTTAAAATGATTCTTAATGAATGAAATCTGGCCGAAATCGGCTTTTCTTGTGAAAGTTCTTATTTTATTTCAAGTAGTTGTAATGACCACATTCTTAACTTTTCTCTACGTTCTTGTTTTACCGGGTTAATTACTTTATCTAAGCATCGTTTTCTTCGGTAAATGTACTCTGTACAGTATTTTACACGTCTTCAGTATACAAGGGTAAAGTTATCTGTAAATTCCTTTTACGCGATCTTAGCGCGCACGACTAGCGAGTAAGTTGGAGGAAAAGTGTATTTCAACATTTCTTTTAGTATTATGTAACTTTATGAATAAAGAGCAATAAACTGTTTTCGTTTCTTTCTTTTTGCTTTTCAAACGCCCAGATAATTACGCATTTCACTTCAGCAATTTTTACACATTTTGTTAGCAAAATATTTTTTCTTTTTTTTGCAGGTTTTTCGATCAAAATAAGGAGAGTTTTCGTTTTTGTTTTATTTTTTTTTCTTTTAAAAACGGCTTAGTAATATTACTTTGGTTAATGCATATTCTTTATATAATCAAATTATTTTGTTCTTTTTTAATTTTAGCTTAAATAACATAATTAATAGCGTAATGAATGCTTTTCATGGTGGAGGTGGCTTAAGCGGTAGTTCTGACGAGAGTCCTGAATACCCATTACATGAAATGGCCGCTTATCCCAAATGTAATGCAGAAACATCTGAATCGTCCTGGCTACAGGATAACAATGTGACGATACAATTTTCGCATTCCCTTTTTGAGGCGCGTCGAGCTAATCTTAACCTGGACTCGGCTATTTTGCGTTTGTATAAAATCAATCCAAACGCCAGCGAAGAAACTGAAATAACTGTCACGGATGTGGTGGAACCACCTAGCAAATCGAAACGTTGTGCTGATCCTTTACTTGATTCGCAAATACGCATCACTGTATCCATAGTGCAACAACTAAGACGTAATAAACGCGGGGCAGTAGGTAACATTCATGTCCCCATCTGTTTCCTTCTTCTTCAAAAGAGCTTGAAAACTTTTTATATTTACCTTACAGAACGTAAGAAACGTATTTGCAATACGATAATGTTAAATGCTTCTAAAACGGGCTGGATTGAAATCGACATTAAGCGCGCGATTTATATTTGGGAGAACGTCAGCAAACAACAACTTCAAAATCATCCACAATCTAGACTGCCCGTTTTAGTCGGTTGGCTAATGATCGAGGTGCATGATGAAGAAGAGCAGCCTCTAAAACCGGGTTTATTCTTTAAGCCACCTAATTGTAATCAGGCAGGTAAGTGTGTTGTTTGCCAAAAATAACTAACAACGAGGTTAAGCTTAATAGAAACAGAAAAACTTCTCATTGATCGCAAAATGAATTTTTAAAATATGAAAAATTTTTAAACAATTAATCGTTTCCAAGTTAGAGATTTGAATTTCCTATTTGATATAAGTGATTAAAGTATTCCAAAATGTTTGTTTTGAGAGCTAGTATTTTAAATATAAGTAAAGCGAAATTTTAGATATACATTTGCATATAAAAAATTATTTAAAATTTAGTCCCTTATCATGGCAATCTAAAGAAAAGAATTTCTTTTCTAAACCTTATAAGAAGTCGGTAAGAATATTACAAAACAACAAAGAAAGCCTGCATTCTTGATTATGTGTTACCTTGAAACGTAACCAAACTAACGTACGGATAACATACCTACATATGTGCTTCTGTTATGCAAATTATTAAGTATTTAACTCTTGCTAAGCATGCTATTGTTACATTTATGTTTTTGATTTAAAAATATAAATAAATGAATAAATACCGTTTTTATATTTTATGCTAAAACGAAAAAATCAGTGGCTGCTTTTGTACGCTTATGAATTTTGTGCTTTATAAAGAAAAAAAGATTGATGCTTTTGTTTCTTTTATGTGTAATCAATCAATGAAGTGCTAATGGTTCTAATATTTTCAGATCTTGCAATCCCATGGGATTACTACAGACCGGGGACGTCTATGCCTTCACTTGCAACGGTCGAAGTGCCAAGGTAAGCACTTTTCGCTTATACACACACTTATTAGATGAATGTTAACATATCCCTGCTATGCTTCCATTGCTTGGTACATATACTCGTAAGAGAGCCATTTTTATTAGCAAATCCGAGGACTGCCAAACAAACTTTAAAAAAATGCACTCACATTATTATACGCTCATACAACAGCTTGGGTAATTTAATTTACATATAAATCCCCACAATTCGATTGCTAAAGGAAAGGTAAACCTTATTATAGATTCTAAAGTTTTACAATTATTTGGCAATTTCCTTATTCTGTTTGTCGCGGTATAACCCCTTTTCAAACTTGTTATAATAGTTGTGGATTGCATAGAATGAATTATCATGCACTAATAATCGATCGAAGAACGATCATAAAGAGGACACATCCCATGTTGCTTCTCTCTCGCTCTTCCTAGATCTTCCTTCTCTGCATAATAGGAAATCCATTTATTAATTCGCAGACTACACCGCACTGTGTTTAAGAAGATATAAGGCACCACCAGGGTGCACAATCAACGTTGCATGATGAATGATACACGAAACCTCATAAAAATAACTAAATCGAGTCAAACAAAGTAAACTTCGATTACACGAAAACACTAGCTCTCTCTTAACAGATGGAGGAAATGACGAAGAACCTTACCTCTTTAGGGATAACACTGTAGAAGAATAGGTAACTTTTGATGTTCATGCGAATACAAAATAATTCTCGTTGGGCGGAATATATCTTTATAATGTCGAGATATGCAGTCAAGGCGCCTAATTTTTTTGAAGCGATGTAGAAAATTCTTCATTGCAGACGATGTGCCAAACTTACAAAATAACTCGCATGTGTGGTTGGAAGCCTCTAAATCTTGGTTGGGGACGATCGATAAAAATGTGCTCGAAACTCTGTAAACCCTCGAGTGGTAATGCGGGCTGGGTAGTCCGTATGTAGAACTATACCCAGAGCAAGTTTTCTACAGAAGTAACAGAGATATATCCAACAATTAATTCCTTTACCAATGTTACAAGGCGTTACCGGTGTTCCCATGCACTCTATCTGAAATTGCCTACATAAGGCATACCACACTACCGCAACTCGTCGTTCTTGAATGACGCTGTGCATCTTTGCAACAACCTAGCAGCAATTATCTTGCGCACCGTGCGATGTGTCTCCACTTTTACGTCAAACGTACACAAGCGCTACTCCCCATCCCTCCATTCCAGCCCTCTCTGCCTATAACCTTTCCCGATTACAATCGAGCACTCACGTGTAGGAAACAGTTACAGAATGGCTGGTCGTACGCGCATAAATTGAAATGTTTCCCGTCAAATGCAAATGCACCGTAAGCGCTCTTTCATCTAATTCCGCCTGCATATAGACTACATCCGCTCCCCACTTTTGTCATTCTTTATACAAAATGTAATAAGTTTTATTCTTCCAATAAAAGTTCTTTATATGTTGTGGAATTTAATGAAGGTCTGATTATAAAGAATCTCGGGATTCAAAAACCTGAGGAAACTGATTCTGTTATTCATTTTTGTCACTTCTTGCTTATATAAATGGGAATTAGTTACCACTATTTTTTTTGTTAAATTCGAAATGTTCACATGTTTAATATTATAAAGCACAAATTCAAGAGATTTTTGGTCCACCCAGAGGTTTTCACATAGCTACCTATAAGCTTAAATATCCAACATTCGAGCCAAGATTCTTACCTTCCTTATTTTTTAATTTTAATTATCTTTTAGATATCCAAGGATAGATGTGAAATTAATCGGTTATGCTTCATTCGCTCCCATGCCAAATGATAGCAATAAAGAGAAAGAGAAAATTTATGCGAATTTCATAAGTAAATTATACAATATACCGGAGAAAGCCAGTGAAATAAATGAAAATGAATCGACCACATATTTAGCACCGACAGCCGATAATCATCTGCATGAAGCAACATATGGAGAAATGCAACCACACTATCAATACAGACGTCATTTAAAATTTTTCGAAGAACCAATGCAACAACATCGCCATCATCATCATTATAATTCACAAGTGCAACAACAAGAATTAAATGAAGAGAAGCAAAATCATCATTATCATCATCATCATCATCATCATCATCATCAGCAACAACAACAGCAACAACATCATCATAGATTATCAGAGCAAAATCATGATGAGTCAATTATATTGAAACATGTTGAACAAAAATTGCAGCATGAGTATCAGTTATACTCAAAACATCAGCACGAGCAGCAACAGCATATGTTGCCTGCCTTAGTCGTATAAAATATGCTTTCGCTTTGCGAATTCTAGTAATTTTTTTTAAATCAACAACAGTAATAACATATCTCACTAAATTTGTGTAGTCATTTGGCATGCGTTGATTTTTTTTCCTTTTTATATTTTTATTAATATATGGTTTCTATTTTGTGAATCCCTCTCTCTCTATTTCGTTCTTTTAAACGAATCTGTATACTACGTTCATTGTAAGGCTTACATTATATCATTTTTTATCGTCGTCATCACCGCACGTCTGATTCGCACTAAGTCTCATTATGAAATTTGTGTTTTGTGGAAGTTTTGGATTTATCCAAATTTTTCTGTCTGTCTGTAGTTATTTCTTCTTTTTTGAAAATCCTTTTTATACCCTCGGTCACTGATGGCACAAGAGCATACTAAGGGGATATACGCAACACGAAACAAAACTGGAGATAGAACCACCGAAGCGTCTGACCGTCCGTTCGTCCGCCCATTTTTGTTTTTTGCGTTACAAATTAATTTTCGAGATATATTGATGAAATTTAGTGCATCCGTATGTGTTGGCCCAAGTACGAACGCTATGAAAAATGGTTCGCATTGGGGCACTTTTTTATTTTATCATACTGTATTTAAAAAAAGAGAGAAAGATGGTCTGTCTGCCTATACATCTTGCTTTTTTGTGTTCCAGTTACAAGTTGTAATTTTCAAGATATTTCGATTAAATTTGGTATATCTATTTTGGCCCAAAGACGAGCGACGAGCTTGTATTATATTCTCCTGCTTATCCCTACCACATCCCGCTGTTTAAGGCCTCGTATTTACAGAGGCGCAAAAGCTATGCTAAAAATGTTTTAATCAATTATCGCTTTCTGAGCATTAATGCTTGAAGTCTATACTTTGCTTAATTGCAAAGAAAAGGAAATATGTGAACTGAACGAAATGAAATATGAAACGAAAAAAAATTATTTCAAGCGTAGACTATACCTGCTTAATGTTTTTATTATTAAGCTCGCCGTCCATAGCTTTTGTGGAATGTTATGAAGTTAGTCTTCTTTTTTTAAATCATATCTTATTTCTCCAGTAACAAATTAAATCTTTTTGTTTCATTTGATAAGTAGGATACGTATATCACTGGGCAGCATTAGAATACCTCAACATAAAACCGTTGAAAAAATATCAAGTGAAAAGTGTTCACTAAGGAGAAAAAATATCTCATATCAACAGAAACTTTAAACAAGTACGAAAATTAAATTCGGTCAGGATCGAATCTTTTATACCTACCACCGTTATCCTAAAAAAGACAAAAGAAGTAAAAGAACACAATTTTCATGCTCTATAATATGGAGTGGACGTAGACGATTTTTCCTATTTTTAAAATAAAAGCTGTTGCCGTGTAGACATGCCAGCGTTGCAGGCGTGTCCTTTGAAAAGTTTAGATCAATTCCAAATTCTTTGGCAAATTTGTAGGCGATTTCTTCATTTTCGCTAATGGGAGAATGTTTATCACATATACTACAAAGGTGCTGAAACAGATGGATAGGGAAACAGGCGGAATGTTTAGGTGCATTCCGAACTTGACACTAGCCAAAAATTTGCATACTTATATATATTTTGTGGGGTCTCTGATGTTTCCTTCTTGTCGTTACAAACGTTTTGACAAAATGAATATACCCCTCATCCTTCGGTGATGGGTATAAAAAAGAGAATTACATTTGAACAAAGCACTCTTACTAGAGAAATTCGAACAACGGCTATGGTATACTCTAAACAGATCCAAACGAGAAATAGATTTTCATACGACTTGTGGTAAAAGTTTGCATGTATACAACCTTCAAAGGAACTTGGGATACATTCATCCTCAGAATCACTTTATGCATCGATCTAAACTTGTCTGTCAATGCGTCAATATTGCATTCTTGCATTCAACCTACAAGTTAGAATTTGTGGAATATTTTTATGGAATTTGGTACGTCGACGTATTTTTGGCCCAGAAGGAAGGCTATTGAAAATAGTACAGATTGGACCACCTTTCCGATCGCTTCCAATTTGACAAGATTTTAAAAAGTTTTTGCATGAACAGCATCAAGCGAAGTGATGTAGTGAATTTAATGGTAGATCGTCTTCTTTTATAATGTTTTTACTTCGTTGATTTAACTTCACAGATAAATCTCGAAAATGTTCGCGTACAATGCATATACTATGACTGCAATATGAAGCAACATCGAAGAATTTCAACACAAATATATCTATTGAAAAGCCAAAAAACAGAATGATCTCCATTGAATTATTGAAGTTTACGATCACCACACTAAAGCTGGCGTTAAGACCCAAAGTGAACATTGCTTTGGATTTCAAAGCTTTCAAAAGCTCCAAAATAAAATGATATGCATTGAAGTAAGCTTAAGAAGATGATCAGCCACACAAAATTGACCATACAAATACAATACATAATTAGATGTTACAGTTATTTTGGAATCAATCCTAGCATATGTAAAATTTTTATTGAAAAACAAGAAGAGAAATATATTTAAGCGAAAATACTGCATTTCCCGAGATATTCTGTGATTATTTTTAATTTTGATTTATTATTATTACTATTATTAGTGGTAGTATGTATCATTATTATGTAAGATTATTATATAATTATTATTTACTATTATTATAATTTATTTACTATATTTTTAACATTGTCCAATAAGGTTATGAGAGATCATTGTAGAGCTTAAATGCCAATGCGAAAAAAGCAAAAAATAACTTGATAAATAAAAAACAACACTCGCAAAATTTACAATTTGTATTCAAAATTGTTATACCTAAGTAAAAACTGCCCCAATTATATTTTTAATATTATTTTAAAAGGTGTGTAAATATTTAATTACGAATTTTCTTGAGCAATTCTTTTCGTTACTTAAATATTTTATAATTTTATTATACTGTTCGATTTAAAATACTATCCTATTTAGAATCAATAATAAAAAAATGCTCTAAAAACTATAAACACAACTCACTAATTTCAATCGATTTCTTATTTTCTTTTACTTTGTTCGAGAAAAGAAAAAAATTTTTTTTATCGCAAGACAAACTTGAAATACAATTTACATATTGAACCATGTGTTAATAAAATCAAATCGCGGCTGGGCAGCAATTCTGTAACCTTTATATAACCAAACAGTTATATACTGCTCTTGTTCGACCAACTTTGGAATACTCATCGGTTGTCTGAATATCAAGTTACATATATAAAATTGATCTAATCGAATAGGCACAACGAGGCTTTTCGCTTTTTGCGCTACGGGGCTCAGGCTAGTAGTTAGTGCTCATTTACCTTCCCATACTGGGAAATAGTTGTACGATGCTGCGAAATCGTCTTTGTCCTTAAATTGGCTAAAGGTATAATATGTTTCCGGTTTTTACTTTAGACAACCTCACTTAATGTGTTCGATAGATTTACGAGGCACTGTGAAGCAATTTACTTGTCACACTGCCGGACAAGCTACTTACTTCAGAATTCTTTCAGGCTCGTTTGTATGATGGATAGTACTAATATTTATTTGTTTGATCCTTCACTAGATTCCATACATGTCATGAACGGTGCTGTTTTATGGATACGTCATTAGCATCCGTACTACTCTGTAAATTGGTTCGACATGGACTGAGCTTTACCTGAATTTTAATTACTCGTAAAATTTATGCATTTTACTGCATCTTACAATTTCCCTCTTGTTGGTATAACATCGATGCCTTCCTTCTGTTTACCGAACTATGTCTATATAAGTTTACTGTATAATACTGGAATCTATACAATTCTTCTACCATGTCGCGTTTGCTTATTTTGAAATTCTGCAGCAAGGTGTCTATTACTTTACTCTCCTTATCGTAAAATTTATCCTTGTATCAGCGGGAAAGTTTTACATGTAACTGAATGAATAAATAAACACCTCGACGTAGATATATTCATTAGCCTTTTATGGCATAGTTTCCGTTATGATTTGCAAATAGCTTTCAAAGAACTGAAGCGTTGATCCGTCAAGATTTTTTGAAAACTTATTTTACACCGTCTTTTTTTGAACGATTTTTAAATAAGACGGCTCACCAATAGATGCAAATACACCTTTTAAGCACGACTTTTTTGTTCTAGCACAAATTCAGAAAAAACAATTTTTTTTAATTCTAATTGTGACAGTGTGACAGAAAGTTATGTATACAAAAACAAAATATAATGGAGAAAATACTGTGGTCAGAAGTCAGTCGCCAAATTTACCATATGTCGCATGAACTTTTTTGCAAGATTTTTTTCGCACGGATTTCTAAGAAAAGCATCTACAGTGTGAAAAAAGAATTGGGTGTATATAGACAAAGAAGTGCAACGACTTAAGATTATTATGTTTTTTAATTGTTATTGTTTTTTAATCTCTTAGCTCTGCTCTTTTACTGATTTTTGGCTGAGGCTATACTTTTTTTATTCCGCGTCATTAAGAAATCCTTAACACATTCCCTGCCGTATGTACCGTCCAATTAATTCACTTTCATGTGGGCTTTGCGATTTTTCGTCACCCCCTTAAAAGCACTACTTGTGCCCCAAAGCCAATTTTCAAACTACAGAATCTAAAAATTGATAAGCAATGTAATGGCATCTGCAACTATTTTTGAAGCGCCTGCCGATAAGGATATACGCATCAAGAAAAAATATGTATATTCTAGTACAAACAAACAAAGCAAAAAAAGTAAAATATTAATCTATTCAATTTGTTAGTGTTTGCTCAAAAGGGTATGTTTGGCGTGGAAAAGGAGTCCGGTGATAATTGGGCTAGCAGGAAATATGTTAATGATGTCTAACTAAGTACTAATTGCACAAATTAATGCAATCAATACAGGAGCTGTGAAGTAGCTTGGAAAGCCAGAATAATAGGCTTTCTATATTTTCAAAATTGCGATGTTGGAATAGTGCACAGTGGATTTTCTAATGAATCGTCCTTTTCTTTGTATTGCGAGGTGGGTCTGGTGCCGGTAGCCGCGAATCGCTTTAACGGTTTTATCTAATGTTGTTGCTGCGCTGCTCGGCGTGCACAAAGTTGCTTCCATAACCGCCGCTTTTCATTTTACTAATATTCCGTTTCTTTTCTTTTAGTCCGAATTATATAAATTTTGTATTTTACAGATAATAATTAATGGTGGTTTCAGTTTTATTTTGTTACCGAACAAATTGGTTAAATATTTACTGTATTAGGAAAACAATGACATTTTTTTGAAATGCAAAATTTTGACGAACATCTAGACTTCTGTCTAGTATTTTTTTTTTTCAAATGAAAATAAGCATAAAGAAAATATTTTTAACATTACTGACCGATTATTTTTGACAGCGATTCTACATACCGACAAAGAAAGTTTGCCTATGTTTCCTACGTAATCTAAAGTGAACAGTGTTTGTAATCGTATTTCTCAGTATTAATAATCACAGATTTAGGCGTTCGATTTGACCATAGATTACTTTTTAACTTGCGGATTGAGCTCTCGTTAGGCGAAGCTGGGTCCGCGCTTGGTTTTATAAAGAGATGATCCAAAGATCTTGTACATGTGTTTGGTTAGACCTATGAGTATGCCTCTGTTGTGTGGTCTCCTTCATATATTATCGGTTGCCAAGCTTATGCATGTTTGTGATGGCTTAGAGGTGTGGCTTTATGCTAGTTGTGTACATGCTTTTTTTCTCTTTTTTCCTTCTTATTTGTTTTATTGTACTTATACCAAGTTTTAATATTAATTAATTTAAGATTTACTCAATTGAACTCGACTCTCGAATAAATAAATCAACAAATAAATAAATTACCAACAGAAGTTACGAAGTTTGGGTTAATTTTTAAAACCCAATCTCTTTCGGCTGAATTATCAATGTTCATTATCTATTAGCATCCACATATGCGCTGTAATATGCGGCAATAGGATTAGTATTGCCAAAGTTGGAGATTAGAAAGTCATCTATTGAGGAGAATGCCATGAACCTTTTTCTAGACATACTATTAATATTAGTCGAAGGGACAAAGAAAAGATGGGTTTGAGTTGTGATTGGCTTAATTGGCTTAAGGTTGCATTAATACGCCAGTTACAATACGCCACAGAAACGGTACTCGGTACGTCACAATCAACAACTTTTTGTAAATTGTTTTTCTTACATATTCCATCTTATGTATGTGACATTTCTCATTATGGGCAAATCCTTAAACCAAATTGAAACCAACTGAAATTTGAATTTTCGTCATCAGCCAGATGGACGCGCATGGTTAAAACGATTCTGCTATTTGTACTGATCAAAAAAATGTACACTTTCAATCTCCGATGCGTACAAACATACGACAAATACTATCTTCCTATATGTAACGAACAACGAAATTTCTCTGCGTCCATGCTAATAAAATTATTTTTTACATATGTTTATATATGTAGTAGTAAAAATTCGTGAGATTTTCATTAATAATTACTTATTATCGTTTTTGTTATTGGCTGCTCCGGAAACTTATTCTCTTACTTACTTCGAAATACAAAACGTTCTACACTGTCAAGCCGCAGTAAATAAAACAATAAAAAAGTCTCTTTTAAATGAAACCCTCTCCCTCCCTTTTAAAGCGTTTTATAATGAAAAATGCGCAAGTTTCATAAAAAAAACTTAGTACACATAATATTGTTAACGGTTTAAGATGTGGCCGATATAAAAAAAAGAAAAACAAAAATCAAATTTAAAGCTAATTAATTAACATTAATAAACGTTTCTAATATATTTATATATGTATATTTACTTATATAAAATCTTTTGGCGTTAATTGTTAAAGTTGAAATAATTCTAAAAAGGTGAAATTTTTAATACATTTAACACACAAAGTCATTGTAATCAACAATCTATTGTGTCACGGATTTAATAAAACACATTTTTTTTACAAGCTTGTTCGCCGATTGCATTGCATATTTGTTTTGTCTGTTTCTGTTTAACATAAATTTTGTTTTTGCTTTGATTTGAAAATCAATTTCTTTTTGACTTAATTAACGTTCAAAAAAAACAAAACAAAAGTAAAAAAATGCACTTTATTTGTATTTAAATATATATATATATATATATTTCTCTATATACACACACAAACATTAGTTATAGAATTTAAAGGAATATCGTATATTATATTTTAACTTTTCTCCGAAACAAGTAAAAGTAAGTCATAACAATTATCAAGATCTTTCGCTTTCCTTAAAGTCGTATCAAAATAATTAACTAATTAAGTACTTGTTAAATACATGATAATATCAGTAAATTCGATAGGTTTTTAAATTACGTTCATATAATTGAAGTCAAAAAGCTATGTTACAAAAGTGCTTGCTTTCGAAATCTACCGTCATATGTTGGGGGTACATTCAATTTTTCGAACTTGTTGCAACAGACGAAAGAAAGCTTCAGATATCCCAGAAGATATTTTTCTCCATCAAAACCATATGCTTATTCGATCTAGCTACATCTGTCCGTCCGTCAGCGTATTTATGAATGGGGAAAATATAAAGGGAATGGCGTCAATTTAACAACACATTGAAAGATCTTGCTGGGAAGACTACATTGTTCAAAGGACACGCTTCCTGTAGAACTGTACTGCGTTGCATGTAAAATGTGTTTTCTGGTAGCACGAAAATGATAAAATCCCACCCGTTTTTATTATTTTTTTTCTTTGTGTTTTTATTTTTTTTTTAAATATAAACCAAGAGGATTTATAAGATTCGATCGTAGCTAAAAATAATTGTCATACTTGTTTTTAATAGACTTGATAATCTAGAGCAGATAAGGTTTGATAAAAAATAAAATTGCTCGTCTTTCGTCATCGATTTTATTATAAAGACAGCTAAGAAGTAGAAAGAAACATAAACAAAACCAGTAAAAACACAATAGTGGCCACGATCAAACAGCCGCTTTGCTTAATATAGTTGTTCGTATAACGACTCTTCAATATAAACTATTGTATGCAAACCATTTTCAAATACTGTCCGTCTTTGTGCCAAAACACGTCAGTGTACCAAATGTCATCAAAATATCTCGATAATTTGGATCTTGAAGGCAGAATGCATGACGGGCAGACGGACAGACAAACTTAAATCGACTCAGAAGTGATTCTGAATCGATCGGTATAAAAAAGGTGGCCATATCTCAAGTCTCTCTAGGCGTTACATACACCCGCATTAAATTAATATGCCGTTATACCATGAGTTGTATAGGATATAAAAATCATTTTGACCGTGTGACGAATTACTTTCCGATATTTGTAATAAATAAGAAAATAGTTTATTCCTTTGGAGGGGATGTTGCGTACCTATCCACTATTTGAATATCAATTGTGGCGTTAGTAGAACATGATGTCGTATATCACAAATCTAGAAAACCTAGTCGCAAAAAAATTAAACAGTTAAGCTACCAGCACATATGATCGCATCAATAGAAGAATTGATCACAACAACAAAAATTTGTTTATAATTTATGGTAACACATATGACGGCATAAGCTAACTAGTACAATTCCATTTACTCTCTTAAGTAAGTTTGTTGTTGTTTGTTGTATTAACAGAAACAAGAGCACAACTTTATCCAATATTAACAATATCCGTAATTAGTTTAGTAAAGCAAAATAATATTCCGGAGGTACTGCTTTCTGAGCGAAAATGGAACTAAACATCATGCAAAGCTTACTTTGCTATATTTACGAATCAATTTGTTTATTTGAGTTTAAGCTCATTTATCTTAAGCAGGTGGGATAGAATACCGTAAACTAAATTTAGAAATGAGTCTTCTTCGAACTATATACCGCTCCTCAGGAGATTAAAAGCTTATTTATAAGAAGCTAACAAGACGTAATAAATGATGAATGAAATGAGGGAATAAACATAAATAAATAAACCAATTCAAATTCCATACATATCGGAAGAAGTACGAGTGATATTGCGAACAGCACCGTAGAGACGGAAGGCATGACTCTATCTATAAAGTTATTAAATGGGGACAACAAATCGCGCATCTTTGTTATGTTTAGGATGAAGGTCTCATTTGAAGCGCTTATATCCACCTAACAAGTGCCATCATTACTTACTGCTAGCGTAATGAAATATTAGGTTTGCTTAGAATGCTTTTTCACAGTATATGTTGCTCGCGATTACCCAAACTTGCAATAAATTTGCCAATTGAAAGCATCTTAAGATCAGAAATATTAGTTTGGGGAAAAAGAAATCCATTATTTTTTCGGTAGATGGCTGCACTGATAGATTTCTCGTAAAGTATCGATCAAAGAATTTCATATTTATGCTCGTTGGAAAGGTGACATTTCGCAGTAAAAAAAATTCTTTTGCTGTTTTTTGTTTGGTGCATTCAGTTGTGAGTTACAGCGTGTTAAAAATGGAAGTGAACAAAGAGAAAATTCGGTACATTTTACATTTTTTTTTTGACAAAGGCGAAAATGCAAGCCAGGCGGCTAAAATTGTGAATGGTGTTTATGGTTCCGATACTGTAAGAGCCAATTATGTGCAATTTTGGTTTCGTAGATTCCGTTCAGGAATTTTTGATGTTAAAGATGAACCTCGCACAGGTAGGCCGGTCGTCGAAAATGTCGATAAAATCGGAGAAATGATCGAAGTTGACTACTGTCAACAACTGGACCGTTTGAAGATAGCGATTGACCAGAAACGGCCAGAATTGGCCAACAGGAGAGGTGTCGTGTTCCACCAGGACAACGCTAGGCCACACACATCTACAGTGACTCGCCAGAAACTTCGGGAGCTTGGTTGGGAAGTTTTAATGCATCCGCCATACAGTCCGGACTTGGCACCAAGCGATTATCATCTTTTTCTTGCATTGCAAAATTTCTTTAATGATAAAAAATTGGAATCTAGGGAGGATTGTGAAAATCGACTACTAGAGTTTTTTGCAAATAGAGACCAGGACTTCTATGAGAGAGGCATTTTGAAGTTACCTTTAAAATGGCAACAAATCGTACAACAAAACGGTGCATATTTGACCCAAATCGGACAATCCGAAGCATGTTAAATAAAGTTCTGAAGTTCATATAAAAATAATGGATTTCTTTTTCCCCAAACTAATATCAAATGCAAAATTTTTTAAATTGCAATGCGAATGGTTTCCGTTGCCAAGTTTATTGCAAGGTGGACATTTACAATTAACAATTATGGAAGGAAAGGCGTGGTCAACTTTTTTCCGTTTTGCTACAGCTACCGTAGTGTCTGTTGTAATTTAATAGTAATTTTTTTTTTGTTTGAAAACGGGGGTGTTCTCAGCTTAAGTCTGTATGTTTTAAGAACGATTTAGACTATTTTCAATACGGATCCGTTCGCCGGAACTTGGTGCAAGGCTCTTAAGAGGAATTTTAACGCAATATCTTAACTTTTTGTAACCTAGAGAATGTCTGCGACAGACATAGGTGGACAAGCGGACAGATGGCCAGATAAACAGATAAGCACATGTGAATGGATTTCGAATCTGTTGCCGCGAAATTTCAAAATTTTTGCCCAATTTATAGCCAATATCTCAATCTTTGCAAACACATACCGCCCACTTTTAAGCAGACGGACGGAGAGATATGGTTAAGTCGATTCGAAATTTGGATGTACACTTTATATATCCTTCTGAGTGCCGCAAACATTGGGACGAACCTTCCGCGATAGGTGTAATAAAATTGAGTATATGGTGCCGTTGGTAGGCATGACTTAGTAGTCTAAACGATGAGAGTAATGTAAAATCAATTTCACGTAAGGAAAATTTTTAAAATGTATAATCTGTTCAAGTATGAACAGATTAACATTGTGCCATTTTTATTGTGATAAATTATAAATATTTGCAATAATAGAAATCTTTTGTTAAAGACTTCGATTTCTAAATAATTGAAATAAGTAATAAAAATTTTATGGTACCTCAAACCCATTCGATTATGGCCTTTAAGCATAAAGTGACATTTATTGTTTTATTTTTTACAATTTCATTATCAGAAAATGCACGAAAATTTCAGCAACGGAGAATTAAATGAAGCTTTTACGCCTGACGAGGTAATTTCCAGCTTAAAAATACATTTTTTTATGAATTATTGTTATGAATCATCATAAATATTAACTAAACCAATTAATGTAATTTATAGAAAGTGGAATCAGGAGTTACTGACATTACGGGAACTCGTAAGGTATGGACGTACACATACAATGTAAAAAAATAATAAGAACTTTTCTTTTTCCTGCAACTAAAAAATTAGGCTGAAAATTTTCAAATGGTAACCGAACAGGATGTAAAGCATCGTAAACCGGAGGCCGGATTGAAAAAGTTCACGATTACATGTCTTAGACGTTCAGTGCACTTAGTAGTAATAGGATATTTCGCATATGCCACTTATCATCACCTGGATGTTGGTGAGTGAAAATCTACATCATTGAATGCTTATCTTTGTTCATTTTCAATTTCAGAATCTAATTATTGCAATGATGGCAAAAATGATAATCACATTGTTAATGAGGATGGATCTGGTAATCAAACTAATCACCCTCTATGCGGCATGCAATATTGTGACGGTTATGGTTTCTTAGCTTTATTGCTTGGTTTCACATATTTAGGTCTGTTTTATTATTTAGTATTTAAGCCCAAAATTGGTCATCGTTTATATCGCAGCATTTTGAAACCACTGCGCACAAAGTGTCTGCATTTTAGTAAACAAAGGTAGAATTTTTTAAATTTATAAAATTCGAGATATGATATTTTACTCCTTTTCAGACCTATATCCCTGTTACAGTTACTTATTCTAGTCTTAGCTTTGGTTATTTTCTTATATTTCGAAACACGTAATGCTCCAAGCAAATTGGTCGCTTTATTGGCTCCCTGTGTTTTCATACTGGGCGGTTATGTATTTTCATCACAACGTCAAGCTATCAAATGGCGACAAATTACAATTGGTGTCGCCGTCCAATTCTTACTCGGTATCGTTTGCATACGTTGGAGAGTGGGGCGTAATATATTTAATTGTATTGGCGATAAAGTGGCCACATTTCTGTCGTACGCCGATGCTGGCAATCGTTTCGTTTTTGGTGATACCATAGTTACTGAAGGTGTCTTCGCTTTTACCGCTTTACCTGTGATATTCTTTTTCAGTTTCATTATATCCGTTTTATATTACTTAAACGCGATGCAAATCGTTATTATGAAATTGGGTTGGATACTCCAAAAGCTATTGGACACTACCGTATGTGAAAGTGTTAACGCTGCAGCCAATATTTTCTTAGGCATGTCCGAATGCCCACTTGTCATTAGACCTTATATATCGCAATTAACAGCCAGTGAAATCCATTCAATAATGGTTTCGGGGTTCGCTACAGTTTCGGGCACGGTGTTAGCAGCATATTTAAAATTTGGAGCTTCTGCTGCTCATCTTATAACCGCTAGTGTAATGGCTGCTCCAGCGTCGTTAGCTTTATCGAAACTTTATATGCCAGAAACCGAAGAGAGTAAAACAAAATCGGACAATATAAGATTAGCAAAATCGTAAGTTAATTATATTATTACTATTATTATCTAAACCACAACAACAAAGTCCTTCAGCATCCTTAAATAATAAATTGTCGACAAGCAATCATTTAAACTAACTTTAGAAAAAAAAAATTTTTTTTGCAATCCCAAGTAACAGAGAAATTTAAAAATAAAACATTTCTATAAAAAGAAATGCCCTTTTGCCCAACTAAGACCGATGGGTCTCTACAAATCTTATAGTATCTGTTGCTACCCAATAAAGCATAAAAGTCAATGTTACTCCTTTTACGAAATAAGTCAGCATATCCCTCCGTAGCCGAGTAGGTAATAATAGCAACTACACTGTCAAGTCCTGCACAGCTTCATTTGGTTTTAACTATAGTGAGTGCTCAGTCAGCAAAAGCAGAATACTTATCGATTTGACATACACTTATTGGCCTGCAGCCCCACACTCCTATCTCTTTTCTTTTTCCCGATATCTTTCTAACCGTCTGAATAAAGTACAACTCCTCAGTGGTTGGTCATATTAAAAAACAACAAAAAAGTGCATTTTTACTATTCTGTAATAAATTTTGCACCACAAAAAACCGTCTGAATTTAATTAAATCAAATATATTTTAACTAATCACTAAGTCATGTACACGGACGAATCCGAAAAGGACAATTACTACACGGCTTTCAATGCGGTGGTACTGTCTTTACTACTATCTTTTAAGCAGAAAAAAATTGTAGCTATGTCAACAGCTACTGAATATGGACTGCTGCATAACCGAACAGTTAGGTCATCGGGTTCATATTTCAACATGGTCGTAGCTTTCGCGAGTACTATGTCAGTAAGGACATATAACACCTGCTGATCGGAGACACCCCCACTAGTCGGCAGCCGCTTCTTATCCATTTCTCCACTTCTTTCTGACCGTCACCTTATTGCACTTATAGAGAAACATTAAGATCGACCTTTAGATACCATACACCTCTTCGCCTTATATAGTCAGCTGTTCATTCATTTTTGTGACAATACCTGAAAAACTATACATTATTACAAAGAGTTTTTCATTAAAGCTCTCACATTGGGTGGTGGTAAAATGTCAGTTGACATGGCCCAAGTTTCTTAAAGTTAACATACTTGTTAACAGATTTATTATTTTTCATATGTTTCTGTCATAATAAACCACATATTAGACTTTGGGGCCATAAAAGGGCTTGCTTTTCATAAGAGAACTTATAAATGTTGAAGTCTACAAAGTAAAGTTATGCGATCCAAATTCCCTAGGGCAAATTTTTATGCTAAAATGTTAAACATTAAACCTTTTTGTTAAAAGACTTACTATTTTTGAGAACCGTTACAAGGAATGGCGTCCAAAAAATAGATGCATTTAGTTCAAATTTTGTCAATTATAATTTTTATATAAAATTAGTATTATAAACAAATTTACTTTTTTGCCGCTCTGTCATACGAACTCTTATGAGAGATTTAAAAAAAAAACTGCGCGGTACAAACTCGGTAAGGTTCTTTTTTATGTCAAATTGTTGTTATGAACCAATTTACCTCTTATGGTATATTAAGTCTGCTGAGATGTACACAACACCCATAACACGTAAGATACATCAACCTTCTATTGTAGCTATCAATTCACATGATGTAACGACTTTTCGAAATAAGGTGTTATATGGGGAGATGATGAAAAGTGGTTCGATTTGAACAATTTTTAGTATGGTTTATCGTTGAGCCAAAACACCGCAATTTTGTGTACAAGAGCACATAAGCAGACATCAGACTAATAGATGGACAGACACGCAGATGGATCGATTTAGAAACAAACTCGACAAGTTATATACTTCACCACAAACTTAATATAGCGTATATCACAAATGGTGTAGAGTATGACAAATGTTGACAAGGTCTAAAATCGATAAATCAAAATGTAGGTTCGTGGTATAACTACACACTCGCTGATTTCTGTCCCACTCTTTCTATTTGTTCTTAGTTAATTTTCAAAGTAATATAGTTTCCCACTTTGTTTCATTTTAGTGCCGTAAATTTATTACTTTTGCGTTTAACTTTAATCTATTGGTGCAAAGTAAAGCCGTTATGTATATAGTTTATATCTGGTTACATTTTCTTATACAGTTCTAAACCATTGTTATCACTAATAGTCACTAAGCACGTTTATTACAAAGCTCTCTAGTATTATATCTCTAGGCTATAATGAAAACACTATTAACGATAGTAGTGAACTTATCGGTAAAGTAGTATCTAGACTTATTTCATTTGGTATTATTTCAACGCTACTGAAATATTGCTTTGATTGTAACTCTTGCTATTTTTACCCGTCTCTTGTAGTTTGATTGGTCTCTTTTTGCAAGGCGTTTTGCAGATCGAAGAATGCAATTATATACGTAAATAACAAAAAAAAGATTTAAAAACGAGGGAAAAAATTATATATATTATACTCTCACCTTTATTTACAAAAAAAACTCGACACAAATGGAAGTTGAATGCTCCAAATAACGGATGAGAGTGTCAGTTTTTTTAATTCTTTTCGCATTGATCAGGATCGAATACCTACAAAATGTCATAGTTGTATCTTCTACAATTTATGAGTAATGAGCAAAAAGACCCAATTTTTTACATTTGAAAACAGAAATACTCTCAGTTTAAGTGGCACTGCAAGCGTATCATTTTACCGATATGGCACATTTTCAATATCAACCTGCATGTAATGTCTTTACCAAATTCGAAGTCATTCCACTGGCTTTATCACATAGAGATACACAAACAAAGGCACGGATAGATGGACTTCGCCGTTGGGCCAAAACACCCCAGTGTACAAATTCCATCAAAATATCCAAAAAAATACGGCCTATAAGTTAAACACAAGAAATAAGGTAGGTAGTCAGACGGATAGACAAGCGTAACCGAGTAAATCAATCGCTATAACAAAAGATAGGTTTACCTCAAACCGTTTTGTGTGTTGTGCACATCCGCACAAACTGAATATATCTTTGTACCACAAATGGCAGAGTATAAAAAAACATAGCTAGCTTAAATCTCTTAGAAAAAGAAATATCACAATTGAAAGCTATACCAGACATTCTTAGAAAACTTTTTGTATCGTGATTACATTTCTAAACGATGAGCAGAGGAATAAAGAGCACAGCTAGTAAGCATCTCCTTAATCACATTTTCCAAAATTTATTTTTCACATAGCAATACATTTCACTTTTACGCCTTTAGATTTTCCGTCCACGGTTGAAGATTTTCAGAAATCAAGATCGGACTTTGATTTATTGTTTGCAGTTGTTATGTGCAATCAATTGAATCAAGTATGGCGCCCTTCGGGCAATTATTTTCTCTTGACTTATTTATTTTTAAAGTTTCTTATCAAACATTTCATATCCTCAACATCACAAATCAAAGCTAGACACAAAGGTAGACACAAACTAGCGAAAAAAAGCTTTGATTTGTGAACAATTTCATATGTTTTCTTTTCAATTCGCTATTTTGTGCTTACCTTTGTCTCTAGCTGTAATTTGTAAACAATTTCATGTTTTCTCAACTGCTGCGCTACGGAAATTAAACGATTCGTCATCGTAGTCTTCTGTTGCTTGATACTCGTTAAATACTCTCAATTTATTGCTTCACCGCTTCCGACAACAATTTATTTATTTAATTGGCTTATAATGTTAATATACTTTGATTAATTATAATTTTATTAATTGTTTATTTACTTTTCAGATTTTCTTTCAATCGCAATGATTTTGATCAGTTTTGTGATATTTAGAAGTTTTTGTAACCTGCAACACTTGTGGTGCATTAGGCTTATGGGCATATCCGCAACACCCGGGGGTACTTGAGGATACAGACAGACTCACAACCATTTCTTGATTCAATCTAAGCTTGTCTGTCCATCCGAAATATCGATAACCGCCATTTACCGAATCGGAAAATTCATTCACAATTAGATTGGACAATAAGGTACCCAGAATGAACCTTGAGGTAGGCAAAGTTTGGTTTCAGCATGAGAAGAAGAACTCAAGTGACCTCCGGAGACAAATTGTTTGCCTTACGAGTTATATGACCACATAAGTTTATATACAGAACTAGGCAAGTTAATATTATATTTATTAGTTTAGTATGTGGGACTGTGAGAAACGTTTTTGTTAGGTCAAAGAGACAGCAACACACACCTCCCCTTGATAAGTTCGGTTCAGAAAACCAGAGATTTCACTTTAAAATGTATCAAATGCCTTTTAAGCTCGGTACATTTAACAGAGATCTCATGTTAATTTTTATGGTTAACAGAAAACTATTTAAAACTATTAAAGCTATGAACACGTGATTAATTTCGTATTCTCCTTGTTCATGTTCATTCGTCCATTCAAGCGCTACCATTTATTGAAAGCAAGAATGTTCTCTCTCTCTATTCTCAACAGATGATACTAATTTTTATGAACCTTGTAAAGGAAAAACCAGCTAGCGGTTTTTAGCGAGAAATCAAAGTCATTTGTACAGGTGCAAAAGGAAGTTGGTGAAACATTTACATAAAGTTAAAAATGGCCAAAAAAAATTCAAATCTGCTTCTAGTTGTAGTGAACAAATCACAGGTAATTTGCAGGGAACCAGATCTCCTTGGGTCTCCTTGTTAAAACGTTTACACTTTCTGCCTTCATTGCTGGCCAAACTGAAAGCTTTAATTGAGGAAAAACATTCTGCGCAAGCTATCCAAGATTACAAGCGGGCCCAAACAGTACTTAAACAGTAGGGTTATCAGCCTTCTTTTGAAGTGATTGTGATTCTATAATCCACAATTTAAAGGAAAAGGCCGCAATTTCCAACGGGAAAATCTGCGCAAATGCTAACTGAAATAGGCGAATTGTTACTGCAGCTAGGTGAACGTGCCACCGATATGGCCACGGAAACGCTTAACGGCGCCTCTAAACGTCTGCATAATCAAATTGTTATGCTGCAAGATCAAACCGAACCAGACATGATAGAATTTGTTGACGTGGCCGTAGAGGGATTCCTTAATGATCTGCTTCGAAATTAATTGACTTATAGAAGTAGTACAAGTGTGTTTTTTGATTTAACAATGCAGCAAAATAGAAAGTTATTACGAGTAGTTTATGAAAATCGCAAGAATTTGCAAGAGGGCCTGACATTATACAAAGTTTGGCTACGTCAACGGCAATTAGTTAAAAGTGTTTCGGTTTCAACTCTCACCTGTTAACTACAGATGCATTTGCAGCATTGAACTTTATTATCAAATCCCTTACACTTATTTAACTAATTAAGTGCTATATATTTTAATACAAAACTTCTTTTTAAGTAAATATAGTACATTTTTTCTTAATTTTATACTTATTTGTGGTTTTTTTATTTTAGTTTTATGTAATTGTTTCACAAACTTTTTCTTCCAATTTTTAACCTTTTTAATTTTTTTTTTTAATTTTTTTTTCGCAATTATTTACTTCATAGAACTTCTTTGTGCAAGTGTAAAATGCTTTTGATTTTTCTCTAAAAGCCGTTACCTGGTTTTTTCCTTTACATGGTTTATAAAAATAGCGCCAAGTGTGAAGAATGGAGTGAGCACAGATTTGCTTTCAAAATAATGCAACGCTTCGATTTTGTGAGAGAAGTGAGGTAAATGCAAGTGGATATTCTGTTATAAACAAAAATACAGGTTAACATAATGTTAAAATGAAAAATTCAGGTCGATATACTGTTAAAAAGAAATAGACACGTCCATATTCTGTTAAGAAGAGATCCCTATTAAAAAAAGAAAGACAGGGCAATATTCTGTTAAAAAGAAAAATCGAGCCTCACAAACCCAATTGCGCAAAATTAATCAAAAATGAACACATATTCGGACAGTTTAAGTCTATTCAAGAAACGATTCTGCATTGCTTGACATGATAAAAGTGATTTTATCTCAATTTCATACGGCACTTGCATTTGACTTTCGGCAAAGGGCAGTTAGATAATTTTTTTTTTCGTGTTTTATTGGTGTTAGTGAAAAAACCATTAAAAAAATAAAAAAAAACGTAATTTAAAGGAATTGAAAGAAAGACAGGTTTAAAAACGAAACGAAATTTTTGGAAATTTTAAAAAATAAAATATATATATTAATTATTTTTCGTTTTTCGTCCGGATTGGTAAGTCTTCCCCGGGATGATAGCGACAACAACATCAGCCTGTCTCCCTAAGGAGACAAGATCTGGGTTAGTTGTCACGGATAGGGACGATTTCTAGGATTTCCATACGGATGAGCATAAGAAGAGATCGAGGATGGATGGGGATGATTCAAGATTGACGGCTTAGTAGAATTCAAAGAGTTTACCAGAGGTAGAGCTAAATTGCTTTTCAGCTCTGCTGGTAATGCTAACATCTTCGTCAAAGACAATGATTTCAAAAAAAAAAGAACTTAAAAGCATAGAGTGAAAACGAGATCATCGAAAAGACCGTCTCCGAAGTTCCTATCAAGCCTATTGTTAGATTTCGTAGAAAAAATCGTAACAACAAACAAGTGTTCATTCCAACCACTAGCATCAAAATAGGATTTAAAGGGAAAGCCTTCACCAAAGTAATTAAATTTAATTTTTGTAATTTGCCCGCGGAGTACTTTGTATCTGTCTTAAAGCAATGCTCTAAGTGCGGCAGATATGGGCATGTGTCCAAGTTCTGCAAAGCGATGGAGGAAAGGAGCTGGTTCTTCATTACAACAACGGCTCTGATATATATCTAGCTTGTCGGTAGTGAAGCATCTGTTTAAAATAGTATATAGATGCAATGTAGCGGAGGAACTTTCCTCGACTTTTATTGAATTGCTTGCTATTAAGGTGTCTATTAATGATTGTATCAAAAGAATTTTTATTTTTCGGATAGCAAGTCAGCTCTACTTCTAATAAATAAAAAAGATGGAAAGAAACAGTATGTGTTTGATATACACAGGATGTTACATAAATCTCAAGTGGATGATACCTGGTCACTGCGGTTTTTAAATGAAAAAGCCGATTTTCCTGCAAAAAGGGCTCAAGTTAATGGGACAATTTCGTCCATCAAATGCACTCCCAACGGAGCAATACGGGCAATTTGCAACATCTTTCAACAACTAAATTAAAGAAATTGGGCGTGTTAAATCCAATCGCCTTTCCAATAAAATAAATCCCGCATTTCAATTCAAACCCTTTTCAGAGTCTTTCTTTAATTTCTGGGAAATCAAAATTATTTATAGACTTATGAATGGTCACACAAGTATATTTAAAAATGATTCGTGATGTACCATGTGATATTTGTAAAGTTTGCAATGTTGTCGAGTCTGCTGAGCATCGAATATTTCAGACGTCACACGCTTGATGATACTAGAGCTTCTTTTAACTTCTTGAAGTTATACGATGGTCTCCTCGATCTCTTTATAGCAGAAAATGTACGTCATTTCGGGGAAGTAACTTGCTTTATTAGGAAAGCGAATTTATCGTTTTAAATTATTTTTTGCGTCCAATCATTTTCTATTACTATAGCATTCCTTTTTCGTTTTCAGCCAAAGTTTACAATACTGTTTTTTTCTTTTTTTTTTCAAATGACTTCGAACAACTCAACAATCGACAATTACATACATACAACAATTACACTTAACATATCGGCATTAGCCATTGCGGGCGTTTTTTTTTTTTTGTTGTATTTTATATATAATACTTACCAATAATTAAGACTGTTTATTAAGCCACAAATTTATAAGCGTAGTCCACCTCCACTCAACAACCCCCAAAAAAAAAGAGAAGATTAAATTCTTAGTTTTGGTTCTTCGGACTCTGCTTGTTTCCTTTTATTTTTAATTAATAATAAGAAAAAGAATCCAGCTGAGTCCACATCTCATTTTTATCATTTATTTTACGTATGCTGTTTCCAGAGAAGATACCTCCGTTTTGGATGCAGCCGCGAATGGTGCCAATAACGCTTTACCTATTGTTTTGGGAATTGTAGCAAACTTGGTAGCTTTTCTGGGCTTTATAACTTTTCTGAATGCGCTGGTCAGTTGGCTTGGTTTCTTAGTGGGCCTCGATCAAATCGATTTCGAATGGGTTTTCTCCAAATTATTTATACCCTTGGCTTGGATTATGGGAGTGCCATGGAAAGACTGTGATATCGTAGCCAAAGTGGTGGCAACAAAAACAATAATCAACGAATTTGTAGCCTACGAACGTCTGGGAGAATATATAAAAAACCAAGCAATTGATGTAAGTTGATACTTGAAATACTTAACAGACGATCAACAAAAAAAATAAATAAAAAACAAAACAGGCACGAAGTGCTGCCATAGCAACATTTGCCATTTGCGGGTTTGCTAATCCGAGCTCCATGGGTATATTAATTGGCAGTCTAAGTGCTATGGCCCCAAAGCAAAGACCTCTAATCGCCAAGGTAGCTTTTCGAGCATTTGTGGTTGGGAGTATAGTGTGCTTTATGTCGGCCAGCTTTGCAGGTTAGTCGCAATTAAAATTTATCAATTTGCGAATTTTGTTTTATTTATCTACTTGCTTAATTTACAAAGGTATATTTATAGACGAGGAACAGGATTTACAATAATAATAAGATAATATATATAAATATGTATAAGATGCATTAATGTTTTTTAATATTTTTTTAAAAAAAATTTTTTTGTAATAAAATTTAAATTTCATAGCACTTATCTACATTATGTTTAATTTTTTCTAAAATGTGGACATCTTCCTCATCAAAATGAGTCCGCATGTTTTTCAATTCAGTTGATTGTGCTAATAAATTATTTAAAATTGTTTTAACATTATAAGACGGCCTTACGTCTTGATGTGGATTCTTTCTAAAATTGGTTGCATAATCCATTAAGGGTAACAATTCCATATTTAGTTTGGGCAAGGTTAAAAAGATCTTCAATTCTTCTTTTTGACTCTCTTTGTTTATAAATTTGACATCGAGTAAGACTACAACCTTTTCTAAAGATTTTCCTAGATATTCTGGTAGAATTTTATATAATAATTGCTTTCGATATTTAATTATAAATTCTAACATGAAAACTGAGCAAATCGAAATAACATTTTTATCGTTCTCTTCCAAGCATTTCATAATTTTCTTATTAACATTTTCTAAAGAGAAATTGACAAATAGTTTAAAGCAGCAATCGAAAAATAATTGAAGACGTGAGTAATCACAAGAAGGACGGTGTTTTAGAAGATATTCAAATACTTGCACTATTGAATCCATAATAGAGTCATTGATATACTTGGGGTTTTGAATTAGGAGATTCAATTTAGTTATCTACAAAATAAGAAAAATATTGTATAAAGTACACTATAAGAAAAATAAAATATAATAAATACAAAAATAAAAAAGTCGATTTTATTACCTGTTAATTTATTTCTTTAGTCTACATAAGCTATAATAATGACAATATAAAAGAAGTAAAAAAAGAGTATGGTGACCACGGCAAATATTTATTATCCTACACGCAACGACTTTTCAAATTAAAGTTTTATATAGAACGAGATCGAAAAAGTGGTCCAATCCGAACCATATTCGATAGCCGTTGGGTCGAAAAACGTTTATGTACGAAATTTCAAGAAAATATCGCAAAATTGCGACCTGTAGGTTGAACACAAAAAAACGGCACGGACAGACGAATAGAAAAGCGTAGATCGATTCAGAAGATTATTTTGAATCGTTCGGTGTAGTAAGGGTTTGTCAGACAATATAAAGCTAGTAAGAGTCGCCTTTAGGTATGCTACACCCTGCAGACTTTTCACAATAAGAGATTGCGTGGGATTTAGTCGAAAAGTGAGCACTCGGCGTTAGGCCAAAACGTGTGTTTGTACAGAATTTTATCAAAATATTTCAAAAATTGACGCCTGTAGATATAATGCAAGAAAACAAGGCGAACAGACAGCGCATAATAAAAAATTTCTTCAACCAAAGTCCTTCAGAGTGTTGTATATCATCACCACAAACCTAATCGTATCCTTTCACCGTAAATGGTCGTAGCGCATAAAATTGAACCGAAGCGTAAAGAAGGGTAAATTTTATTCGGCTTAAATCCAAACTTTGAATTCCTTCATATTTTCGGTAAGTGCCAAATGCATAGCAACAAAGTTTAATTAATTGTTGGCACAAGAAACAAAAAACAAGCAAAAGAAACAAAATAGACCTTTGAAAAGAAGATTGGCTTTTCTAAATTAATACATCCTTTTATATAACGAAGTACACTAAACGAAGTGGGACCCGCTATCTCGTCTCGTAACTTGTTTGCTAATAACAAATACGAGCGTGTATTACAAATCGTAACCAAATTCCAAATGCGTAAATATGATAAAGAAAATCCAGGAAAGAAATTACTACGCTTATGTATATCATCATTGGCATTGCCTTTATGGTATGATGATCGTTTTCAACAGGATCTCTTGAAATTTCTTGCACTTTTAAGAGCTATCATTCACAACACAACTACTGTGTGCCTTGTGACCATACCTACGCATTTAGTGGCTAAATATGTAAGTAGAATATAGCAATAAAAGCAAAACGATATTTTTTTGTATATATGAAAAAGAATTAAAGAAGGGCTTACAACTCCCGTAAAGTTTCCATTTAGCTTCTTTAGTTTTTGCAAATCTGAGTCGAAACGGAGACTCAAAGGAGAAGCATTATGTTTATCATTGACAAACAATAGCAATTCCCTTAATCTCTCGCCCTGCTCAGAAAGTATGTGCTCAGGAATTCTGGCAATCAAGGATTTTGTTAAATCTTGTATAAAGAATATTCTTTCATTAAATTTATGCACGGTGCAATGTCCTAAGCATTTCATCCAGAATTCCAAACTCACAGCATAGGAGTCCATCTTGAAATGTTGGTAACTAAAAACAGAAAAATAATAATCAGAACGTAGCAGTCATTTCCATTCATAAATTAGTAAAATAATTTACCTGTAATAAATTTTTAATACTTGCAAACTGGTAAAAGCCAAAATCCACTTTTCCTCCAAGACAAATTTGCAAAAATGTCGATGTAAACAATAGCTTGAATCTAACAACATTAAGACAGCATAATATTCCAAAACTTCATTATATTTTCGACAATCAGCATAAATCATAGGAGCTATATTGAATTTAGAAAAATATATAGAAAATCAACTCTAGGGATTATTAACTTACTTTCAAATAATTTGAAAAATATTTGAAGAAAAAATTTAACATTATTCATAATGAAATATTGATGTTGATAATGGTTGTCCAGGCAAACCGTTAAATAATCTTGAATGAAATTACAACCAAGGAAATGCGCGCTGGCGTCTTCGGAAATATGCAACACGACAATCTATTTAAAAAGGTAAAGTTAGTTCTTGTTTTCAAATAATCGTATTTTCGTCTTACTTTCCCCACTTCTTTCTCTTGATATATTTTTGAAAACATTTCATAAAACTCTTGATCGATAACTTTTCCAATCGCTCCGCAATTTCTTTGTTGAAAAATACTTTTTTGTAAATATTAAAATTATTTTCATATAAGTTCTCCAAAAATTTTTTTCTAATGTTCTTACTGTTTATTCAAAATATATATTTCAAGGAATTCCTTTAGGACTGGCAAAGTTCGACTACATAGATGCCTTAATAGTTTTGAATAGAAAGAGATAACTTTTAAAAAGCTTTCGCCACATTCGTCTTTTCGCTAGATAAGAATAAAAAATAAAGTCATTAACAAAAAATTAAATTGCACTATTATATTGGTTAGACGTAGTCAATTTTCCCACACATTTGTAGAGATACTGCAACGGTTTCCATAGAAAACACGTTCACATTTTTGTAAGTTTATATATTGTTATTTATGAGTAATAAGTGAAAAGAAATTTTTTATTTGTTTTGAAAAATAGAGATGATTTCAGTTTATATGGCCCATTTTTAATACTAATCTGCATGCAAAAACTTCCCACGTATCTGCCAGATTTGAAACTGATAGCTTCATCTTTGAGGCAAGAAAAATATTTACAACACACATTACGTAAATGGACAGACGGACATGTTTACATCTACTCAAAATTCGATGCTCATCAAGGATATATATATACTTTGTCTGTGAAACTTCTTTGTGGGCTTTGAGAAATTAATATACCCCTCAAAAAAGATGTCTTGCCCTCATCCTTCGATGGCGGGTATTAAATTTGTTTTCTAAATAAATTTTTAATCTTGCGTAAATTTCCGGACATCATCATACATAAACAACAGCAAGTACGTTCCAGAACATTCCGAAACGTGCGGAATTAATTCAGTACAAAGAAGGACTGATAACTGATGACAAAATTGGCAACAATATTTAAAACAAATTCTGCAAATGGTGCTTGTGAAATCAAAACAGACTTGCGTGTAATCTCTACGTTGTATTTTCATGCCCACAATGGGCGCTTCTAGGCTTTGCAATCAAAATGACAAACATTTTTTGCCTATGGTTATAAATAATGAAATATACTCACTTCTTGAAGATAATGCAAATATTTCTTTATTTCCTTTAAGATTTTTAAGGAAGGTTGCATCGACCAATCAATCATTTTACCGTTTTGTAGACTTTCTTTACCATCTTCAAACGATTTCGATAATACCTGGCAGGTATAGCTAAGCTTACCAACCGCATGCCAACCTTCAATAGCTATTTTAAAGTTCACTGAAGTTAACAAAGAGCTTACATCGCATAAAATCGTTAAAACTACATAGAAAATATATATGAAATTTAAAATTCACTTAGGAAATGATGTTGAACTCTGAAACCTTGAACAACTGCTTCGAATTCATAACCATTTTTGACTTTGATAGTGTTAATGGATTCTGTGATTAAAATTAGCAATCGTCGTTGTGCAATTACAAGCGCAAGCACGTGACTGGAAGGAGAAATTAAAATATAAATTTTTAAACAAAAATTAAAGTTATCTAATAATCCACAACTTTATTACCCTTTCTTATCTGTTTTCAAAAGCATAACAAACACTTCAAGTGTAAAACTTATTAGCAGACTCCAAATGGCAACATCAGTCTTAGAATTAGTTATTATAGTTTCAAATCTTGTTATTAATTGTTGAGTATCTGACAACAATTTCCATTCTTTTGTGGAATTAATGGTCGTTTCGGTGGAAGCAAGTAAATTAGGGGTTCTTAAAGTATTCTGATTTACCCTTGTATCTTTTATCTGAAATAAAAAGAGGAATTTCACGTTAACAAACAGTAACCAATTAAAATTGATCAAAAAGCTTTGACTTCGCACCACGTCAGCGGCCAAACTCTTTAAATATGCAATTATCTGAAACCAATCATTGTATTGAAATTCTGATATATCATAAGCTTGGAAAAGTTTGTGAACCCAAATATTGTAAATATTATTAGGATCAGCGCGGCTTTCTCGACAAATTTGCAGAACTGACGTACTACTCATACAATTAGAAATGTGATCAACTTGCATGGACTTTAATTTCTCAAACGTCATATCATTAAGGATCGACATTTTTTCCTGAAACTTAATTTTAAAGTAATACTCGACACACTTTAAAATATTTTGATTTCAGAAATTAGTAAAAAGCAAAATTAGACGGATTAGGACAAAATTTTGTTGTCATTTATTTTATTAAATAAGAAGAAGCATTCGAAGCAAATTGTTACATATTTTTATTTCAAGCTTGCCAGAGTTTGAAAGTGGAAACTTCAATAAAAAGGGTCAATTTCATTCGGTTACAGCGCAGAATACTGCTAAAACATTGTGTACACTACTTATTATTATAGAAACTGAATTTTACGACTATAGCCGTAGACCTTAGAAATAAGAAGAATAAGAAACCCACACCAATAAATAAGAATAACAAGAAACCTACAACAAGAAATAAGAAGAACAAGAAACCTACACCAAGAAATAAGAACAACAAGAAACCTATCGAAATTGGCAACGCTACTTTATTCTCTTCTACTAAGGTCATGAAAACAATACAGTAAAAGCTCCTTACATTCGCATTTCATTCACACTCGATACAACACGTCATCTCTGCAAACTCTGATTTGGGTACCACTGCCGCCCCAAATCTCGAGATTAATTTGTACGATTGCCTTTCCAACTACAATTTTGTCGCTTTTGTCGAAACGTGCGCAGACGCAGAAGGAAATCGCATCAATATAAACTCCAATCTCTATTTCTATGATTACTTGAGGGATTTCAGTATGTACGGCTTAAAAGAATTAAAAGTTGTCAGCAGGGGTAGAGCCAAACTGCTTTTCAGCTCCGCTGCCAATGCCAACAATTTTGTTATGAATAATGAATTTAATAAAAAGAATTTAGGTCGTTCACTGAGAGATTTGGAGTTATTCGAAACATTCCATGCACATATAGTGTCGATGATATAATTGAAAACGCCGTATCCGATATTTCGATTAAGTCCGCTGTCCGTTTCCAAAGAAGAAATCCGCACAACAAAGACGAGTGGATTCCCACAACCAGCATCCAAATTGGCTTCAAAGGGAGAGCCCTCCCTAAGTCAATAAAATTTAACTATTGTTATCTGCCGGTCGAATACTTTGTACCCACTTTAAAGCAGTGCTTTAGGTGTGGCAAGTCTCCGAAGTATGTAAATTGTGAGGCGATGAAGTGCTTCTCCACGCTCTCAATAAGTGTTGCCTTAATAGGGAAATTGAATCATATATCAACAGGATAATGACGATTAAAAATCTTTCGTATAAAGAGGTCAAAGAGAATTTTTCCGCAACATATTTCGAATGTCTCGATGACATCACTTATGACGGCAATTTCCCTCCACTGGGGAACACGTCTGCAATTTCGACCAAGGATGATAATAAAAATGCCAACAAAATCTTAACCAAAAATAAATACAATGCTGTCGTCAAAAGGAAATTGGTTCCTTCCAAATCTCTTATCAAGTCAATACACCCCCCAAGTCGTCTGGAACAAGCCTTCTTGGACCGAAAATTTCAAACAACTATTTGCGGTCTTCAGAACTTGAAAGATTAATTCTCGCGATTCAAGAAAGTGTCCGTCCGATGATCCCTCAAAATCTTATTAAAGAATTTAAAGAAAAAATGTCTGTCTGTGCTATTTCTTGCCCCGTTCGAGCATCCAGTACTGCGAGAAAATCCGCTGGGGTTCTTTCTCAAGTTTCAACATGATATCCTTTTTACAATATAATATTCAAAGTGTCCGACGTAACCTATCTTTTCTAGATTTTTACTTAAACTCAAACAAGATTGATTTTTGTATCTTAAGTGAAGTTTTTCTGAAAGATGAAAATTGTTTCGAAGTTAAAGTTTCGAATTATGCCTCAGCCACCAAATGCCGAAATGATGGCTATGGTGGTGTTAGTATATTCGTTAAGAAAGGTGTCAATTTCAGACGTATTCCCTATAACTCTGGCTTTGACATCATCATTATCAAAACCATCAACCTGAAACCGAGTCTCGATGTGCAAACCTTTCGTGATGAGTTTCAGAGATTATGCAACTTTCTTGACGGTGAACAAAATGTGATTCTAGCTGGAGATTTCAATGCAAGACACCGCCTGTATGGCGATCAAGTGTCTACCAACAAAGACAAAATCCTTGTAAATGCCATCACTTCCAGCATTTTCAGTGTCTTAAATAACGGCAATGCTACCTTTCACTGTAACCGGAGCGGTCGCACGGCGAGCAGTGCCTTGGATCTAACTTTCTCGAACTCAACTATCTTTCAACTGGAACACGTCCAATGTTTCCATTGGCAAAAGTCAGCACTCCCCCATTATATTCCACAGTTGTAACAATTCCGTCAAGAAAATAGAAAATTTCATTTCACGCAACTTCCTTATGGACCGTCTGTCTAAAGTTGATCTTCCTTCTGATTTATCATCAATTCAAAGTGCCTTTCAGTCTGCTAGAACCAACTTTCCTGACATTGAGTCCTTCTCACCTAAACCTTGGTGGAACCCTTCCCTGTCAAAACTTTTCCGCAAATACCAAGCTGCAAGAAAAAAAATGAGTAAATATGCCAATCCAGCCAACTACATTGAATATATGAAAACACTGAAAGAATGGAGGTCTGCAGTTAGAAAGGCGAAAAGGACACATAGAGCCATCGCTATTAAATAGTTATGTGGTAACGGCAACCCACGTTCCTTCTGGAATTATATCAATGGTCATCGACATTCTAGTCGAAAATTATGCGGTTGTGTTGTATGGAATGACCGTGATAATAAAAAATACTTAGATATGCTCAAGAGTTACATTCCAATTGTCAATCCTATTACAATGCCTTTAATTCCTTTTAGTAGTATCAGTAACACACCCTTTTCATTGCATGAGCTAATGTATGTTTTACATTCCAGAAAGAGAGCTACTGCTGCAGGTTGTGATGGAGTCAAGTATGACATGCTCAGAGCACTGTCTGGAGGAAGCTTTAGCATTCTCTTGCATGCAATTAACAACTGCTGGTCCAC